GGCAGGTTGTGATAGAGGGAGTACGCACGAGGCACGATCAGCGCTTGAGAGTGGGAGCAAGACCGGGACTGGGATAATAGGTTGACGTGCACTGTCCGATGCGCCTCCTGTGATGGCCCGCGAACACGAGACACGCGAAATCGTTTCAGGAGGAAGGGACTCGGACGCGTGTATACGACATACGACAGCTCGACCTCGCCTCGCCTCACTACGCAGCCCCTACCCTTCGGACAGAACAACGAAAAGTTAAAATAGATCGGCTCCGGTACGCTGCTACCTCGTTATTCGAGCAAATCGAACAAAGTCGTGGAATCGACAGCTCCCATAGATAAGGAGGATGATTTCACTGGAGCAGTTTCCACCGTTTCTTTTTACGTTCTCACGAATTTTTTTCTCCTACTTCTCTGCCCTGCGATTTTCTACACCGTTCTTCCAGATTTTCATCCACAAGGAGATCCCGTACCGAGAATCGATCCAACCTTTTCTTCCTTCTCTGATTTTCGTTTCGTTGACTCCTCAATTTTTCGAGGGCTCGTCCGGGTTCCCCCTCCTCGACTTCTCGTTAGCCTCTACCCCTCTCCGCGGACTTCTTGTCGACCACCACAGCACAACCACCACTCGAGGAATCCAACCGTGTGCCCTCTCTCGCACACACCCTCGAGTGGTCTTACTCTCTTTCCACCTCGCTTTCACTGCGTTCGCTCACTCTCCTCACTCAACAATCCCCGAGGAAATTCGTGACCAAAACATCCGACACGAAGTACTCCCTGTAGCCAACATGTCGTCTGCTAGGCCCACCAGCGCGGCGGCTCACCGCGCTTAAGATGGATCAGGTTCGTATCCTGACTTCTAAGTACCCTGCCCACGGTTCCACGATCTTCTTTTTTATCCTGGAAAAATCTTCTCTAATATGCACACGCCGTCACACGTTCGATCTCTTGTCTAGAATTTTTCAGTAGATTCACTGCCAACAATCTGTCGCGTGAAGTGTTAATGCATTGACCGTAGCGCTATCTGTGCCATCTATTGAAACTAAATCGTTATGTATGCGATATGTTCGTAACACATACACGTTTCGCTGTAGTTTCGCGTTCAACCATACGTTCCATAGATATGATAGGTTGCGCTGTGATCAATCCATATGTGTGTGCATGTATGTATAAATATTCATACCAAATAAATAGACAAATATAGCGACGCATTAGGCACCGTAACCATTAAAATAGACATGCTATTTTTCTCATTGAGTTAATACCGAAACGTAAACGTTTGAATATAAATGTAATAAAAAATTTCTTTTTAATCTAGCGATATTTATTTCAGTTGTAATTAGTTCCTCTCTTATCCGGTATTTAAATTATTACCAACATTGCCGACGTTACTGCCAACATACAATTAACAATACAATAGTTACCAATAGAAAATAATTTTTTAACGTTTAAAAACTACAGCATAAGAAAATGGTGTATAGACAATAATAGACATCTACGACTTATGAATGTTTTCTGTTGAAATTTAGCAAACTTAATGTGAACACAAGATTTTATTAAAATATGCATATGGAAAGTCTCTGTATATTTTGATGCAAAAGATATTGTAATAAACAGATTCTGAAATTACATTGTTTATCTTACTTTTATATTGTACTGAATTTGACTCTAAATAAATCATACAAGTATTATTATAATTAGTTGTAATTATAGCTATTATTATTCTCCATCATCGCTACAGTATTAGTACTTTAGACCAAAACTGTATTGGTTTATGAAGTAGATACATATTATCTAAATACATGTTCAACGCATGGAAATGTTTTATTGACACTAATTAAGTTTAATTAGGTTTAATAATTTCCTTTAACTTAGACCACATGTAACAAATTTAAAATATTGCGTACTTGAGGTTGATGAGATTAATGATTTACGAGTGAAAGTGTAACTTTATGCAAAAGATGTAAAAACTTATAATTATGTAAGAAATCAATTTTCATAGTTACACTCTGCAAGACATAGTAAAGCATCAGCTATTGTAACAAGATTTACAACTCAAAAATGGTCTATGAGCTGAAGGCCACTGTATTCGCTCGAAAATATCTTGCAACGAAATGTATGCTTTAAAATGGCTTTTTCAGAACACAGATATTCAATGCATACGCCACTAAGCGACCTGCTTGATTAAATAACATATTTCTAATACACAAAAATATAATGAACAGCATTGTTTCCTCGATATCAAAGGAACTTGACGACGGTAAAATGTCGCACATGGCTATGCACAAATGCGGATGTTTTCATCTTCAGTGAATAGCTATGAGACCCGACTCCAAAAGTTTTTGCAATTTTGCTGCTACGTCTTTATTTTTCAGGTGGCTACAAATAGAAAAATTATAATATTAATATAAAATGAAAAAAATTGTTCTAATATAATAAATCTAATGGATTGATTATACTTACTCTTGTAAAGCTCTAGGATCGCTTTGCATCTGCTCTAATATAAGTCTCATCGCAGGATCCCGTAATATACTTTGGACTTCTGGGTCTGCCATTGCTCTCTTCCTTACTTCCTCGGGATTGGAACTAACAGAAACGGCACATGAGCGATATCCTTCTAATGCCTCGCTATTCGAAGGATCTAATTCCAATGCTTTTTGGTAAGCAGTAAGTGCTTTTCCTTGTTGTTGCATTCCCTGTAATATCTTCCCTTTCCTTATCCATCCTTTGATAAACTTGGGATCAATTTCAACACATTTCTCGCAATCCTTCAACCCGAGATCGAACGCTGCTAATTTCGTATAACAGGCAGCTCTGTTGCTATAATATTTTGGGTCATCTGGATTTCTTTTGATAGCCTCTGAGTAATGTTTTATAGCTGTTGGGTAATCACCCTCTTTGTATTTTTCATTTCCAAATTCCTTTTCTTCCTCTGCTTTTACTGGGTCAATATATGCTTTTCTTTCCTCCTCTTTGATAATTTTATCAATATCCGAAAGAAGGGTTTTAATTTCGGGTGTTCTATGTTCTGACATAGATTTCTCATAATACACTTTAGCTTGTTTCCAGTTTTCCATCTTTTTGTATGCATGTCCAATTCTAGTGAATGCTTTAGCTATTAACTTAAAGTCTGCTCTATTTTCTCTTCCAACTTCAATGGCCTTTTCACATTGAGCGATACATTTATCATACTCTTTTTGTTCAAAATATACTGCTGCTATGTTTAGTAAGTAAATAATTTCTGTAGGATCTAATTCGACTGCTTTGTTATAGTGTTGAAGAGCTGGTTCAAACTTCTTTTGCTTGTAAGCATCATTGCCTAATTGCTTTTCACGCTGTGCAAGCTTCTGAGGTGTATTACAATCTTCTTCTTCTTTCTTCTGAGGCTTAGGCGATTCTTGTTTAGGTTTCGGAGGTTCTGATTGCTGAGATGAGTTCGTTTCTATTTCCATGTCAGTATCCATATTCATTAATACACTAAGAGTCGTAAGTACCCGTTTGTCTGTTAACATCTCAGCAGCAGACTCTGAATTATTTCTGAGAGTATCTAGAATTTTTAAATATTCTGGATCTAATAAAAAGCCTTTGGTTCTGGGATCGTTTGCAAGCTTCACAAATAAATCTGGTCTATTGAAGGGATTTGACGTCATTAATCGTTGAGCTTTCACTTCAGCCAAACCACTTTGTAGTTGGGCATTGTCAGGTTCATGTTGCAGGCCAGTTTCATATGCTTTGATAGATGCATTTAATTTACCTAAATAAGCCAATGCACTGCCCATACGTGAATATCCTTTTCCCCAGTCAGGCTTTAAACTTACAGTTTTCTCGGCATCTTCCAAAGCTTGTTTGTACTTTCCTGCTTTAGCATATGCTGCAGATCTATTACTATATAAAACATGATTATTTTCATCTAAGCCAATTGCTTCTGTATAATGTTTAATAGCCTCTTCATATCTTCCTTCTTGTAAAGCAGAATTACCTTTCTGTTTTAGTACATATACCTGCAAATTTAAATTTAATAATTTGGTATCATTAAATTGGAATCTCAAGGAAACAAGCAGTAACAAAAGATCGAAACGTCCTTTCTAGAGAGTTATAACAATGTTAACTTGGAAGTGAAAAATATAGTTTATTTAACGAGCATAAAAAATGTTCGATTTTGTATATAAACGATCATATCAAAACAAAAAATTAAATAAAAAGAAACAAGAATTGATATCTTTTGTAGTAATCTAATAGAATGTACGAGAAAATAGTGCGACAAGCAAGGAATAAGACAATTCTTAAAACAAAGCGTGTTCAATTAACAGCATCATGGATAAATACAGTGCCTTTCAAATTAGCAACTTTTTAACCTTAAGGAATGCGTGATAGTAATCAACGTGGCAAGAATGTTTACCTGGTCCATAACGCTTGACTTTAGAACAGTAATACTTTCGTTCTATTTTTCAGAACTCGTTCTTTTATGCTCACGAAGATACGTGATGACTCGTGAAGTACACTCGAGCCGGCGCAGATTTTCAGAAAGCTCCAGAAATGGACAACTAGCGCCTCTTCTCAATTGTCGAGAAACTAGTTATACGCAATGCCTTTTTGTGATCATATTCCACAATTTTCTAGTACCTTCGAAAAACATTCTGTCCTTCTTTTATATGCAACTTGATTGCCAACCTAGTTTCACATTTAATCCAAATTATACTATATTCGTTTGTAAAGTATTTTCTGCTTCGCAATGTATACATATATAAATTATATTTATTAACATTTTGTCGACTGTTGGTACATTACATTTTATATATGATTATATTTTACTATCGCGATCTCTCTATACACATATGTATATTCTATGTGTAATTACGTAATATTATATTTTCATTTATATTTCATCATATTTTATTACTATAACCATTATCACTGTATTTACATTTTTTCCTAATTTATAATTTAATCTTTGAAAATATGTTAAATAAATACATATATATGTGTATGTACTCAAACACAAACAATCATAATTGTAACTACGTCTCTAAATTAGATATTTAGATTCTCTTTCACAGAATTTTGGCCTTTAATTCATGTTTCGTATGGCTTATTATTATAATTTTTATGTATGAACTTGTACATACATGTAGTAACGTATGGATTCTTAGAGTAAGGACAAGTAATGATGTAAATTCAAAGTTTAGTGTAGTTTAATAAGTGATGTTCAATAACAAAAGGAATATAAATAGAGTTTATTCTAGTTTAATAAGCGATATTCAATAACAAAAGGACCGACTATAATATCGTCGCACGTCGATTCACACTTTGTGTCCGCTCAACTCACACTCTGCTTTTCAACTGACTCTCTGGCCGTTGTAGCATTCTTTGTCTTTTGCTAGGCCCATCGCACACGTGTTCCGCGGACGCTCGTAGCCAGGGTCACGTAGGCCTTTTCGGCGAAACTATTTATTTGAAGGACCGATAACGAAGGACCGATAATTGATGGAGCCGACAGCGCCTCGGCTCTCACGACATTGTTTATAGTTAACTCGATGTTTCTTAGGCCCGATACTACATACATTACATTACAAATGTATTATATACATTTCACTAAAAAATGGTTACAATATTACAGTCTAAGAACGCTCAGATTTACGATACAAGTTAATCGTAGAATCCGAACATGGAAGCGTATTAAATAAAAAAAGACATATATGTGCATATATTATAATGATTCACGAACGTAGGTGCATTTTAAGTACGATTAGTACGAACAACTTTGTGTGGTAAAATGTTTAGTGTCCAAGGTTGCTTGATCTGACATTACTTTCGTTGCCACAGAACCTGGTATTTCCATCAGCAAACTGGAGTAACTGGGGAATCCCAGATATTTGTCGTGTTGCATTTTTTCGTTCGTAAGCAGTTCGATAACCGTAAAATTATCTCTAGAATTATATTTCGCACTCGTAGAATTTTTTTATCATAGAATTCAGAATATTTTTTGTTACATTACAAGGAACATAATACATACATACTTTGTAAAGATAGAAGATTCAGATTATTATATTTTTAATGTAAATAGAACATAATATAAATGAATTACTACTTACAGTCAAAAAATTAGTAGACGATTAGTAGAATCCTTTCTTTTCCAAGAGCCAAATATATCCCGGAACCTGTGCACTTCGCAGACCGAACTCCCCCAAAAAGGAATAAGTCTCCAGACTTCTTAGAATGCCTAGACCATTACACATTACGAACTCGAAATAACCAACAGCCGGTCTTTGCTCCATATTTTTACGCCGGCTTTTGCAAAATTAGCTATAACATTTCATCCTTCTTTGAGCTTTCATATTGCATTTTCTGTATTTATTGCCTAATAATCAAAATCGAATCTTATATATTTGCTAATGCTTGTTAACAATCATTCGCTATTCGTATTTATCGGCAAAAGAAATTCTAAAATCTATGATACATTTTCTAAGACTTTTTATTACTAAAAAATAATTATCATCGTTATGTAACAACGTTAATGTTATCCTTCTTTTACTGCTGATACCGTAAAAACAACATATTTACGATACTAACAAAACTTGACTATATACAACAATAGGGAGAGGGGGAACGAGGAAATTAATACACGTTAAACATTCACAGTAAAATACCGAAGTATTCTGGCGAAATAAAGCTCAGTAGAGCTTTGATACGTTCTTTGATAAATAGTCCTATTTATAAGTGTTATTTCGGTCTCTTTATCTAATATAAATTATGTGTATGTACACCTTAAAATGAGCAATGAAATTACAAGTGTTCTGTTACATATTACTTTTTCTACTTTTTTATATCAGCGTAGATTCTTATTTTAAGTCGCTTCCAAACGTACGGATGTCACTGCTACATTCTCACACTATTCGAATAAAAAAGTCTGATACTTTCTTCTATATTTACAGAACGAGATCCTATGATCTCCTAAGCGTAAATGTAAATCCTTTGCAGTCGATTATCTATATTGTTGTTATCTATATTGTAACGATTCTATTTGTTTCGAACATTATCGTTTCTCTCGTTACCGAAGTATAGTAGTTGCTTCTTACTGAAGCACTAGACATTAGCATTAGACATATTTATGTATTTGCTCGTCCTTCGTTACCTCGTGTATTCTTTCGTTTTCATCGTCTTTACAATACGTTTCACATTGATTTTGCTGATTAGCTTTAAGCAAATAAAACATATTCGATTTGATGTGATTAATACTTGCACTTGTCGGAGTTCAAACTATCTCTGTCTACCCTATGTACCCGTATCGTGATGCATCGTCACGACCATTTGTCAAGACATCGTCGGTAATGATTTCTCGATGATATTATAATCAATTAAATAATCCATCGTACAACAAGCCGAATTGTTGATCTGATCAACGTATCGGTAAATATTTCTATACTTTGACACCGACCACGTTTTGTCGAAGTCGCACGATCGCGGGTAAATAATTATTAGCTGCAGAGCTTTCGTCTTCATCATTGTTGTCGGAATCTGACTCTGGAAGCGGTTCCGGTGTTGCGCCCAGTCTTACTAATTCCCTTGCGAGTTGAATATCGTAGCACAGAGCTACCTGATATGCAGTGAGCCCGGCGTAGGTTTGCGTATCCAAGCAAGGCTTGCACTCCTGAAGGAGGAACGCGATCACTGACCGACACCCATTCTCCACAGCGAGGTGAAGAGCTGTTCTCCCCGCCAATGCTTCTCTGGCTTCAAGATCCGCTCCTAGGCGTAGCAGAAGCCGTACCAACTCTACTTGACCCGATGAGGCGGCTATGTGCAAACACATTTCTCCTGAAACGCAAAGTATAACATCTACATAAAATATTGAACGATTAACATATGATTTATACATGAATTATTAACGTATGATAACGTATGAATGAATACTTTGTTTGAGGCATTGTTCTACGATTAAAAAAAGATCATTTATGTCAATACACGTTCGTGCGTCTTTAACGAGGGTGGAAACGCGTACTTTTCATAACGATGCGACCGAGTCACATGCTTCTACAAGATATAGATAGAACTAGGAAGACGTGGTGAATCATTGTCGTCGGAGGTTTGGCTGGCGTCCCGCGGTCCAAACTAGGTTCGTACCGATCAAAGTAACTGCTAAAATTAACCTCCCTTGTTACCATCGGCAGCATGTACATTGGCGGAATATAATTACTAATTTTGTTGCAGCTGAACTCGCCTCGCAACAGGGAGCTTCAGAGAGCTGATCTCTACCGCGCAAATATTTATGTTTCTATTCTTATCGAGACGTATCGATGCACGATGCGCGAAACGCAATTGCGTTAGAAGTACATAAAGAAATAGATTATTTATGTATTTCGAAATTTCTCGATACACTTAAACGATATTGTATTGGCAATTATCGATTTGCTCTTTATTATGGATGATCCTCTTAAGCAAAGAGATTAAATTTTCATCGGATATTTCTTCAGTTTTTATTCCCTGAAAACAGAGAATCAAGAGCAACGAAAGAATCGTTAACTTTCTTTTTCCTTCCTTGTTTCGTTCTCTCCGACGAAAACGTTCAAGGGTGAAAGCATATACGTATCCACCGATTTCCACGCCATTGTGGGGTTTCCCAAGTCGAATCGAGTCGAACCGAGGCAAGAATATCACGACACGCAAATAGTCGCGCAGGTATTTTTAAATATCAAAAACATCTGCTTCGAGCTTTCTGTCTCATCGCGCGCCGCGCGTGATGTAACGCGCGTGCACGCACGCACAGACGACGCGCCAAAATTCCGTCGCGTGTATTCCGAGCTTAATACCGCAACACTCTTTTCTCCTCACTTTCTTCTTCCCCTACCTAATTGCTTCATCCGTGAAATTCTCTAGGCGCGTCTCATCGACCGAATCACCGCGACTACACTTGAACCCCTAACGTTTCTGCTCCACTATTGAATCATACGTATCACGAAAGGCCGTATGTCTTTCTAATTTAAGCCTAGTTATTCGAGCATGTGCTTTTTCGTTCGCTTCGATAAAATTACACACGCGAATGTTTACGTTTTTCTTGACAAATCGATAAGACGTAAAGCACGTTGTACGTCACCGGTATGTACGTACGACGCAACGTAAGAATCAAGTAACAGACACGCGAGCTTGCGATTAGATCAAAAATCCATAGCAAAAGCGTAGCTTAATTTATTTCGTCATGGTCCAAAATCAGCCGTTACGCCAACAGCTTGCCATTCCATGTGTACATCCATTTTATAAGCCTAGAATGGAGTATATGGATGACGTTATGTGGGAATTCCGGAGCTTTGTAAAAGAGCTAACGTTCAACGTTCGATTATTCAGGCATCGCAATTTGAAATATTTAACGTAAAACCACGGATATATCAAATTAGCATAGCAAAAGGAAATCTTGTAAATGTAATTACACTGGAGTCTGTGAAAGATGCATAGACAACGGATACAAAAGGCATAGTGGAAAAGATTTCTGACTAAACTTTTCTTCGAAGCATCCGTAGCACATTTAGCTGCGGCTCGAATTCTCGTTTGAATAGTCACTGAAAAGGAAGCTACTTTGGAATTACGAATAACGCGATTTTTACTTGGAAATGTCTCGAAAAATATTATCTATTTGAAAGTGACGAGTGGCATTGATCACTTTTCTCAAAAATATCATGAATCGTCAATAATGGGATTATACTTGCTTAACTTCATGGAATTTCCGAACGAAATAAACGGAATAACGGATCATTCTCGATTCTCGATGAAATCATGGGAAACCCGCGCATAATCGTGGTTACAGAATTGTTCCCCGTGCGCGGCGCGCGCGCGTGCGATGCCAATGACTGTTGTTTCATGCGGTAAAAGTTGTTAGGATTTTCCGAGATGCTTCGTTTGTCCTTTCCGCGAGCGATACTAAACCCGTGTCACGCGCGTTTCCTGCCTCCTTGACAAAACATCTTATTCCATGGGTTTCTTTTTATTGTCCATTAATAAGGACAGGCTTTATCCTCGGTGTTTTTTGTGTCATACATCATCGTCAAATGTTCAAGGATTTAACGAATGTACTAAAACTACTTTGTGTTGCTATTCTATTCATTTGTTCATAAAATGTTGTCGCTGATGAGATTTAAGCAGAATAAACAAACAAATGTTAATTCATTGAGAAATGTTTGAGTAAGCAAAGTGAAATGGAGAATATGAAAAAATGAAGGATATGAATTTACTAATTACCATCGTAATTCCTTTGTTCTAGGTTTTGTGGCAGGGCAGGTATTTCCTTTGCTTGGCGTAGATAATTCCTTTCAACAAGTGTTAACGGATCCGTAAGGGCTTTCGCGGAGGCGAGATCCCCGGTAGCACACGCCAAATGAAGGGCTGTGTTTCCGCTAAAGTTCCTCAATGTCGGGTTTGCACCTGCCAAAATAAGCCGCCTAACAATCCTCGGTTGTCGTGTCAATACGGCCAGATGCAGGGGCGACTGGCAGTCATCGTTCAGGATATTTAAAAGGCAGGCATGTGGCGCCATTCTTATCAAGCTGAACGCAGCTTCCAGAAAGCCTTGCACTATGGCCATATGAAGTAGCCTGTGTGAGAGAGAGAGAGAGAGAAAAAAATAAATGATTACTAATGGCTTTAAGGAAAGACGTTTGCATAAAGATGAAAAAGAATGTGTTGCAATTTTTCGCTCTGCAATGGGTAATCGCGATATTACATCGGTCATTGGTGGAGATAATGTACGTATTTACGCGAGTAGGCTTCGACCTCGAAGCGCCACTATAATTTCTTTTCCTCATTTCAGAGTTTGTTTCACAGTTTATTTTCTCTGTGCAAAGGTCAATGTTTCGTCATTCGATGACGACGCGTGCAACGTTTTGATAGAATTTTCTAACTGTATAACTCGTATTACACATTATAATACGAAGAGAGAAAAATGGCGTAAAAAAAAAATTTGTATATAATTGTTTGAAGTTCCCCGGAAGTTATCCCTGAAAGGCATTGGTGCTATCGTCCCCTGTCGCCCTGTACTCTCCTTGACGTATCACCATTTGAAAGGATCTCTTGGACGTGTATCTCGCGATTGCGATAATTTAATTGATCAATGTGCTTCGCCTTGCGAAAAGCGTATGAGACGATCGGCCGATCTACGTGCATACGATGACGCGTAACAATATTTGCTTCGATTAACATATTTCTCGTATGATCAGAAAAACAACAGCTGTACTTGATAAAGGCATTTATCTTAAAATACCATTTGTCATATCATTTAAACGGAACGATGGTACAATTATCTTTTTTATTTGTTTTGTTTAAAATTCTTAACATCTACGATGCTTTCTTTATGAGACTATACATATGTATTACGTGTATTATATAAAACAACACTTCCTACGTGTTAATCGATACAAGGAAACAGGTTATATGTAAATCAAGTCATTGTTTCATCATACAAAGAAAAACATCCATTGAACGGAATACGTTATTATTATTGTAACATCGACCGATACGCTCGAAAACAATAATGTCGCTTAAAACTCTTGAAAGTAACGCGGGCTACAGGTTGCTTCGAAACGGAGCATGCGCCGATCTGCATATATATACGTGAAATTAACTATCACTTTATTTTGCTCGCTAACGATCTCGTTAGTCATATCAGAAATTTCAGAAACATGACGTCTTACGATTCTACTTGTGACGCACATGACACGACACGTGCCAACTTAATCGGAATTTATATATTGTTAAAACTAGGTCAAACTTGTTTTGAAAGGGAGAAATACATAATATCTAGATTACTTACGTATCACCATCGTCGTCCTGAGTATAGTAGAGCTGCCAAGGTTCCTTATTGAGCGGTTTGTCAAGAGATTGAGGTAGATCGTGTCGCAACGTTGAAGCATCTTCTTGCTCGAGTTTCTCGGAGATTACCGGAGTCAATTCGACGGTAGGTTCAACCTGAACCTTGCCGCTTGCCAGAGGATTTAATGTAACTTGTTTCAATGTAAGCTGGCTCAAGCTTTCGCTTAAGCCAAGATCCACGCCGCTATCTGCTCTCATTGGTTCCGGGGCGACGGGTGCGGTTGTTGCAGCATTCAATTCGTAGTCGCACAGCTCCGAACTGATCTGGAGATTGCCACTGGAGAGAAATCCGGAGTCGGCGTGGCTCGAATTACGTTGATCTTCGCACTTTTGTTGTTGTTCGTTTTCTGGAACATTGTTCTCCATCGGTGTCGTTCTCGGCGAATGCCACATCTTTTCGATATCAATATTCAATCCGCGGCCGAAAATCTACTTATTTCCCGCTTTGCCTGAAGGAAAACTATCATGCGACTTGTATACACATATACACAGACACACAGAGCGACGCACTGTGTATACACCACTATGTATACTTCTCTAAAATCTTGACACGGCGAATTTATGTAGCTTTCCGTGCGGATGCTTTAATCGACTATTACGATTTCGTTCGATTGTCCTTCCTTCTCTGAACAAGAATACATTCGTCTCTGTTTCGTTCGTTCGCAAGCGACGCCACTGCTCCGTTTATTCGAGCAATCATTCGATTGTCGTTCGCCTCGAACAGCTGGCTTCTTTACGTGTATTCGGTTTCTCGTTGTCGTCGCATTCTCGTTTTGACTGTGTGTTCGTAAATAACGGTGGCTAGTGCACGTCGTTCCACGATAATTTCGCGTTCATCAGAAAATTTCACGTATTAGTGAGGAAGACGGTTTCAAAGGAAAGGTTAGGTCTGTTGAATAAAAGTTTATGTTTCTGACGGAGAACTGTAGAGAAAGAAAACAAAATAATATATACTTGATAACCGTGCAAATTTGTAATTGTATCGAAACTCCACTCAACGCGCTGTCTGGAAACCAACTAATCGTGTAACGTTAGGTGACGCGCTGAGTAACTTCCACGATGGCCGCTTCACACAGTGGAACCTCTGGCGGTATCAGCGGTTTGTGAGCTCTCAAAGGGGAAAGGTAGGGGTGGGAAAACCCATCATCCTCTGGCAGGGCCAGCTACGCGTATACACTGTGTACTCAATTTAACTTGGCATTCTTTAGATAACCAGTTTAGAAAAAGAAAGCGGAATCGGAAACTCCATAAAAGAAATCCCACCTTATTTACCGCAAATAATTTCGCAATTTTACACGGAAGTAGTTTGATGGATTATTTCATTCCATTAAGCAAATCTTTATCTTCCGATATATGCGAACATATATCATAGGAGTATTTCTAAATAAATTATCAATTATTATTTATGAAATTACTTTTCATGTAATGTACAAAACGATCTAAAAGAAAAGCAGATTCAATGCTAAAGTTTACTACAGTATCTGATCGGGCGCAGAACAAATTTTTCGACGTCGTGTAACATTGCATACGAACGCGCATTTTCTCTTTTTACAGTCATTTACCTGGTCGTAATTTATCTACTTGACATTCGTTTCTTTACCTTTATTAATTTTTACGAAGTAGAAAGACAGATATCCGTTTGCTAACTGAGAATGAAGAATCTAATGAACTATGGCTTAAATCTTTATTTCGCATTTGAATTATCGATAAATTCAAACCAAATTTTATTAGGTACTTAAGGAGTGACGCGAAACCGTTAAGTTATTGTGAACGAGCATGTCAAACGTATATGTATATGTTTCTGTAGGAACATGCAGATTTCACCGTTCTACTTTCTTTTTGAATTGTCAATCCATATGATGCACACTCGCTGGAAATTCCATCGGTATTTCCGACTTAGAAGATTTACCGATGTTTACAAATAATTTCAAATACTACGGATTACAAAGTAATATATCTAGAAGACACGTTGGTACGATGCGCTTTAAAAGCGAATCTCGGTCCTATTCATGGGAGTTTAAATACGGTTTTCCCCAAAGATGGTTACTAACACTCGACCTTGGAACAAAGGGAAATCGTATTTTTTATCGTCCGTTACACAAATCGTTAGTACACCGATAATCCCAGACTGCTGTCATAATATGTACTTTCTTATTTCGGAAACAATAGCTACTATTAATGTACTACATAAATGAGAGTGAAAGGCCACTGTGGATTGATGAAGGTTGTTAAAGCATTTGTAAATGATAGACTTAACCTGTAGACCAATGACAACGAATTATATAATTTTATGTAATCGTTGGTTAATAATGAATAGAGTATTTTTCATGAATACTATTTCTGTTTGTGCAATTATATAAATTTTTCCTTATCGACCTGATAATGTGTGATTTATTGATAAAAATTTGTCACTGACCTTGTGTGAAAAAAGATGTGACCAAACTTTTTTATAGTAACGATGAATGAGAATTCGATGCGAAAGCTATCTGGGAAAAACCTAACTGTGATAAGCTCAGTACGTATACGTACACATTATATCTGCATTGTTCACGAATTCATCTGCAAAATTCATCGATAGATACACCATTCATTATCAATAACTTAGCTATCGCACTTTGAATTCACTTTTTGTACATTGTATATGTATCAAGTGCGTTCACACGATTTGTTTTCTGATGTCGATTTTATTTTCATCTATAAAGTCTAGGAAAGTCCTCAATGGTAAACAAGTTTTTTAAAGAACAATAGCATCACTTAATTACTTGTATTCTACAAGGTTAAACATATTAATGATGTTTTAAGTGTTCAAAGTCTAAAGAAATACGATGACTCAAAGTTGAAGCGGATAAAGTATTAGGTCATTTTATTGTATCCTTGTTACGATAGAAATAAAAATAAAACATATTGTATCTTTTACGAATCAGCTCTGTAAATTTTTTATATGCTATATCGAAAAGTATTATTTATACAATAATCTGCTTGTCAGATATTTAAATTATTTTCGAATAAAAATTATAAGCAGGTTTAAACAAAATACAAATAATTTATCGGAAGAAGTGACTATATATTTCTTAAGTGATCACTTACCCGTTTGAAGATGTCAAGTCGCAAGTGCAACAAATGAAGATCACGTTAGTAGACTTGATCGATTTCAAATGAATTGCTTGCATCGTCTTTTGTCAATAGGGAAGAATCCGTAGTTACATATATTATTCTATGTATAAGATTAGGTTAAAAATAGATTAAATCTTATGATAGAGACAAACAAAGTAACGTACTTGAGCACAAGGCGCAATGCAGCGCATGCAGACAAGCTTCCAACTGTTTGAATCAACTGCGCGCTGTTATACGGAATTTAAGTTTACACGGGAAATTCCTACTGAAAGTAAACATGAATATACGGGCTCATAAATTTTTTAAACGCAATTTTGAATAAAAATAAATCATGCACTTTCTTCTATATAAAATTAAGATTTAAGTGTTTTAAATACTTCATAAATATATATATTTCAATAAAATTTGGGTCTGATAAACAAAGTATTTTTTTTATGAATATAATTTTTATTTTAACAGAATATAAAAATAATAATATCATGTACTCTTATGTTCAAGAATTCCTTGTCGTATCAATGGTTCACAAACAGATCTTGGTAGCAAATGATATGTATTTTTTTTTAGCAAAATAACTTGGCCATCATCTAATTCCAATCTTCCAAAATCCTCTACACATTTGACCTGAAATAATATTACATTTTGTACATTTAGCTGTTATTAGAACAGAGTTTGAGTATCTATTTTATATATACCTCTACATAAGGAGTTTTTGGAGGTACCATATTTGTTGTTAGATTAAACCCATGGTCTTCTCCTAAAGATCTCATGTATTTAGCTAAAGACTTATTATATGACTGAAACCATTGAATTTCAGCATTTAATAAATTGGAATTTATTTCTGGCGGTAGAATGCTCCCTAATTCCCATCGTAATTCTCTTAGTTTTCTCATTCTGTTATATATGTATGCTAAGACACATCTTTTATTTCTTTTTAATGCTGTATGTCTCAACTGTACTGATGGCAATAATGCCATATTATCATCATTCCTAATGGCATTGCTGAAAGTTTATTCAATAATAAGCTTTTTCTACGTTTTAATTTTTACATTGTTATACCTTATACAAACCTATCTGCTACATTTGCATCATAGAGACATTGCATCTCCTGTAAAACTTCTTTAACAAGTACCTCCTATAAATAAATCATTTTTTTAGATCATTACTTAATTATCTCTAATATCATCATAACATTATTTTATCATACAACCTACATTGAATGGTAATATATCAGAATATAAATCTAGTTCTGAAATAAGCTTAAAGCCTTTTCTTCCATACATATTTTAAAAATATAGTTAAAAATATATATAACTACTATATACTACTATAAAAATATATATACTACTGATAATAATAAGTACCAAATTTTTTGAACATCAGCTGTTGAGTACAGTACTACCGACTGACTCCAATAATGACTACATTTAAAAATGACCAGTTCCTACATAGACTAAGCCATTCATGTTCAATGGTAGTGACATCTACAAAATCTTTGAGTCTAGCGACATCTCACGTCAAATTGAACATTATCGGAAACATTTAGGTTATTTTTATAATAATAAACTGTGTTTAGATGCAATAACAAAAAACTCTTTTATTGAAATGTTATCGCTTAGAAATGTTATCACAAAGTTACAAGCATATTCGCAACAAGTAACGTATTGTACAAAGGCTATCACGGAAAAAATCCATCCAATCATTTCCAAAAGAAGTTATGAAGATGAAAATTATTTTTACCAAAGACCGCGCGAGGTATGGCTAGAAAATTTGGATACCGTTGAAAGACAAAAGTTAGGACTTGTTTTTCTACATCCCGACATTTATGGAGCATCTCCTAGGATAGATATAATTCATGAAAACATACGCTGGCAAAGAATGTATCGCTTTGTGGTAATTATTACATCTCATTAATTACCCCTATTAGTCTTAAATCAAGAATGACAAGATGGGTAAATTAATTTTTCATTTTAGTGTTATGCACATACAAAAGTACGTTCAGAAGTAAGAGGTGGTGGCAAGAAACCATGGCCACAAAAGGGAACAGGTCGTTCCCGTCATTCAAGTATACGTTCCCCATTATGGAGAGGTGGTGGTGTAGTACATGGACCTAGATCTCCTACAACTCATTTTTACATGCTTCCCTTTTATACCCGAGTTGCTGGACTTACATCTACATTGTCTGTTAAATTAGCTCAAGATGATTTGTATATTGTTAAGGATTTGGAAATTCCATCCAATAAACCATCATATATTGAACAACTAATAGAAGAACGACATTGGGGACCTTCTGTGTTGTTTGTTGATACTGATGATATTATGCCTGAAAACATCTCAGAAGCAACTGACACAATAAAGCATGTAAATTTAATGCCTGTATATGGTAAGTAGATATATGTATATGGTAATATACTGTATATGGTAATAGATTTTGATGTTATTTAATTTATATCACCTTCATTATAAATTTATTTTCCAGGCCTAAATGTCTACAGTATGTTAAAACATAATACTTTAATTCTTACTGAAAGAGCTGCACGTTTAATTGAAGACAAAATATTGCACCATTTACATAGGCCAGATTATCATAAATTAATGGCAAAGTTTAGACTTAGTCAGCAATAGAAATTAAAAAATAAAAGCATGAAATATCAATCTACTTCTTTTCAAATTGCATTTATTTTCTGTAACTGTCATTAATTTCTTATAACAATTCAATATTATTATCAATATCAATTTTAAGCTTATTTATATCAAAACGAAATTTTCATCCCTAGTTGAATAAAGGTCACTTCTTTCTTAATGTTGGCATACTAGTTGACTTCTTAGGAAGAGGCTGCGAGGACAAATGTCAATGATATTAAGAAAAATATAATACCGAATTATAATTATATAAAAATAAAGACCCTTACTGCTGGATGAGGATCTTCACCTAACATTTTTTCACGAATGGCCCACCTTATGCTTGCATGTTTAGCTTCCCCAGGAAAAGACATTTGTTTCCATTCCTGTTGATATTTTTGATAAAGTAAAACTGGATCGGTCTTTTTAACATTTTTATTTTTTTGGATGTCTGGTTGCAATCTCCATGGTCTAATAACTATATTGAAATAAAAAAGTAAAATTGTATTTATATGTTGTAATTTAATTGTATTTATGTTATATTTATGTTCATATTTACAATATGATACATGTTAGAAGCTTACATGATTTTGTTCCAGAATGAGTATTTTTTGTAGATGATGTACTTTTTGTGTGGCTGCTTCCAATATATCCTTGCTGGTGGTCTAAAATGTTTGGTGCACTCATAGGACGTACTGATTGCAAAGGTGTTGATTTTTCTTGAATCTGTATTTTATCATCTTGTATTTTTGTTGTACTTTGTGTTTCTATATGGAAATCTTTTTTCAAACACCCCTCATATTTATTTTTACTTTTTAAACAAGATTTATTATCTACCTCTATATTATTACATGGCATAACAATAGATTTAACATTGCAATGATCTTCTGTTCTCATGGATTTGGATTTTGACTGTATAATATTCACTTTGTGACCTACATTTGTATAGTTTTCTTCAAAATTTGTAGGATTTTCATTTTCTTTGTCACTTGATAACTTTGTCACTATTACCTTTACAATGGTGTCATCAAAATAAGAATTAGAAGAATTAGTGGATATAGTATTTTCAACTGAATGAAACTCTGTCTTTTGTTCTGTAAGAATTTCTTGAATCATATTTTTTTGCTTATCTATTATTTTTCTCTTAATTTCTTCCCTTCTTTGCTGTCTTTCACGATCTTTTATTTTCCTATACAACTTTAAATCTTGTAGCAAGAAAAAGGAATATGAATTAGAATCAGTATGCAACAATGCTAGTTACAATGTGCATAAAATATTTAGATATTAACTATTATAAAATACAAAAAAAAAGATATCAATAATATTACCTTTCATAAATGCTTTAAGTTGTTGTGCTGTAATTCCAACAAAGCCCAAAGAATTAAGAAGAACAAGTACTTCTCTTGGGTCATCATTCATAATTGATAAAATAATATTGATTTTTAACAATAAACGTTAGCAATAAAAATTGTGACTGTTTGTTTTCATACTCGCTATTCAAATAATAGAAACGTTGAAGTCAGTGATTTCACTCACCATATATTATCTATAATCGTTTAGAGGGTCATACGAATGTTTATTTAAGATAGACTGACTCAAAATATTGAAAAATCATTTTACTATTTAAACGTTTTAATGTTTTCATTGAGAAATACAAAATTCATGTATTTAACTTTTTAACACACTATTATTATTTACATACAATATTTTATAAGCACAAAATCCTAAGTGAGTGAGCACTCTATAGAAGCGCTAGAGGCTTCCAACTGAAATTTAACAGAATTTCAATCGCCATCTCTTAGGAGAAGTATAAACTAAAAGGAGCGTCCGGAGAAATTTAAAGAGTGGCTGGAATGTACTATAGTAGATCAGGAAATCAAACAAATTTATAAGAAAAAGAATGATAAATATTAATCATTGTAAATATTGAAAGAAATAAATAACATGATCAAGCGTTTCCCTTACATATAAATTTGTTTCTTTCGCTACAAAATATTCCAAAGATATTTATTCTACAAACAATATAATCGGTAACTGCGCAGAACCTTTCACCTGCGCTTGATTTAAGATTAACGAAGCATGTTTAATTGTTCATCAGTCTGAAAACTAATCTTCGTAGAAAATGTCGTCGGTAGCATATATCGTTTTTCTGCTTGCCACAGCAGTGGTAAAAAGCCGCTTTACAGGTAATCCTCTCCTTTAATCGTATGCATTAAAAGTTATTTTTGACTATGATTAATAGATTCGAAGTGTATTAGAACAATTATGACTATGATTGCTTCCCAGATATATGCGCCTCAAAAATTTACACATTGAACGTTCCGCACGTAGTGCGTAATGGAACTGGACCAATCGATCTTTCCTGCATTTACAATGTCACTAAAGACGAGAACGGTCTTGTAATAAAATGGTACCATAACAAAGACCAAATCTATCAATGGATACCGCCAAGTAATACTAAACATAATTGAACTTTTTGAGCCGAGCGACCCTGTTCGATATATGATGTTTTTTCTTTTTATTGTAACCCAACTATAGTGCCACCTCAGGATATAGGAGTGATAGATGGATTTGCTGAATATCCTGAACAAAATTTAAGACATTCTAATTCACAATCTATAATACATTTGAAAATGGCCATGATCGAAATGAGCGGAGAGTATACTTGTATGATTAGCACCTTCCAGGAAGAGGACACGAAAGGAACAAAAATGATTATTTATGGTAACTCTGTGATTGTAAATAATAATCGAATAATTTATGTGACATATAACACTGTTACTTAATATTGTATTACAGTGCCAGAAACTAATCTGTCCATTCATGTTTCTTCTTTCAATAAAAGTCATTTGAATCTAACATGTGTAGCAAACGGAGCACAGCCGCGACCGATACTAAAAATTTACATAGAAGGAACTGAAGTCAATAATTATTATGATAAAACTGTAGAAGCAATAAAATATAAAAACATCCTTTTTGCAACGCGCAGTGCAATCGTAAAAAATCCTTTGGAACCATTGCTATTAGAGTGTGAAATTTCTATACCACACACGGATTATAAACGCAGAGAAAGAATCGTTTATTATCCTAGTTCGATTCGTTCCAATATAGGCATATAAACTAAAAAAAAAATGAACATATGCATCTAACTACCTTTTTCTATTTTCAGTTCAAACGTTATCACAGATTAGTAACGCGTCAAGCTATAAAATTGGTGACGTTATCCTCATCATCTACATAGTGTTATTATTAAAGTAAATAAATGTATAAGACAAAGAGCTTAAGACTTCTATATATGAAACTTGATGTATTTATGTTATTACCAAATTCTTCACAATCTTTTTAGGATTATAAAGTAATTAGTTCTGATAGATCTATATTCGTACAAAGCGAATTCTTATTATAGCAAAATTTCAAATCAGAAATCTCTCTAAATATCATGTCAAGACAGAAAATGCAATTGCGTGTGCGTTAAGGATTAAGGCGGAAACAGGAGATGGTGGGGAGATATATCTTCAACCAGCGGTCCTCGGAAAGATTATCACTTGCCGTTCAGCGCTCATCCACAAAGGATTCGTAAGTTGGCATCTTCAAAATTGGCATTTCAAGTCGTGTTGTTTAAATTTAGATAAGAAAAATTGATTCGACATAAATTTGCAGTGTTATACGTGTACTGTTCTATCATTTTTTTATAATTCTTTTTTATTTGAATTTAACAGAAAGTGTATAACATGATAGACGATATAATAACTACAGTTATTATTTTATTTGACAGTGAATTATCGAACCAGAAAATGAACTGCACTTATGTGGCACTATTTTTCATAGGTAAGCAATATTTATTTCTCATAATAGAAAATGTATTTTTTTAATATTTATTATAAGTGGAAGTATTCTGAAATTGATGAAATAGTTACTTTGCTCGAATATCCTAAAACAGATTTAAAATAAATCGGATTAGAGATTATAATATAATTTCCACTTGAAGCTGATAACATCATTATACAGCGCACCACTTAAAGCAGTTGTTACGATGTTATTGCATTTATTGCTGTACTTCTCATTAAAGAAGATAAAACATAAGTACAGTCAATTTTTTTAATATTCTTTCTTTATTAATGTAAACCGGAAAAAAAGGAGAAGAAGAAGAAGAAGGAACTCTAGTCGAAATATGCATTAGCTTATGCCCTATATAGATGCAATAACTTGTAATTACTTGCTTAACATTCATTGATGATCGTACACCTTTTTCGTAACATACATAAATGCATCAAATACGTTCCTTTATACTTTTTTAAACAAATAATTTTTTAATAGTGCTTTAAATATTGCTAACTCGGTTTTCAGCAAATTCTTTTAGTTAGAATAAAATAAAATGTATATATAAATATAAATAAGAAAAACATATTTTTTGCAATATAGTATGCGCATTATGGGTCTTTGGAGAAACTTTATCTTGCGAACAGTGTGGCAGAGAATGCGCCGAGAAATGTGGAACACGACAATTTCGTGCTTGTTGCTTCAACAATATGAAGAAAAGACAATTTGATCTTGGATTAAAATGGAGGATGAGACCACAGTTGTATACGAATTGGTTGTATCCGAATATCGACATGTACTGATTATTTGTCATATATTTTGTACTTCTGTGCCGGTATGCTTCATCGAAACAAGAAAAACGTTATGTACTCAGGGATAATTACTTTAATTATTGTTATAAATATTTTTATTTTGCAATGCCGTTCTAAATAAGAATATTTAATGTAGCATAATTTTCTTACGTTATCAAGTGCAATAAATTAAATATATCGAATACTTTAAATACACCGTTATTATTTTTTATTTTTTCTTAGACCATGTTTAAAACATGTTAGGAAAATAAAAGATAATGAAAAACTCCCTTCATAAAAAATATAATATTTATTTTTATATTATTTTTACATTCGATATTTACATATATTCACATACACTGTATTTAAGCAATCCAATTTTTTATACGTTTCATTATTTTTTTTAATGGAATTGACTGATTACTTCCATCAGAACAAATTTCCAACTTGTCTAATAATCTTTTGCTTTTATTTCTAATCATATTCCATTTTAATTTATCCAAACCAGGATACGATTCTTTGTTTAGAAGTATCATTAAATCTGATATATTATTCACAGCATCGAAAGTAATTAATCCTTTTGAGGTATTTTTTACCATTAAATTTTTTTCGGAATTTTTCTTCTTCTTTTTGGTTACAGATTCGTCTCTTACATCATCGAAATAAGATTCTCGATTACTGCCCTTAATATATGCCGAATTTCCTTTTGTTTCTCCGATTTTTGTGAATATTTTATGTTCCTTTCTATCAGCTATTGATGTATTTTGAATATATTTTAAATTAAAAGTATGACGATCTACAATTTCTACAAAAAATAAATTTTATAAATATATTATATATAAATAATATTTCTTTTTATTATATGATTCGTAAATTTGCTTCTATACCTCCTGCATCATCATTAGAGACACCATTTTTTATCTCACTTGGAACTGAAACATGTATAGCATTTTTATTTTCAACCCATGAAAATGTATTTTCAGATTTTGTTTCTTTGTTGTAATCTTGTATATCACAATCTAGATCTTCATCTGAATCATATTCACGTGGGGTAATTAATTTAAACATTGTATTCTTTAATCCGTAATTGCTGGGAATGCTATATAAATACAAATTTTTTAACTATAACAGTTTTATATAATAATTTATTATATTTATTTTGTTTTACATGCCTTGAGATAGGGTTATCTATCCATGGTACTGATAGCCATGATTTTAAATCATTTGTAAGTTCGTAGTCTTTGGGTAGCCAAGGTAATCCAACAAATTCAAAAGAGTATAGGTATTGGTATAAGTCATTATACCATGTACATGCTTTCTTAACTAGATACCTTGACAAAATCCTGTAGCAAAATATACCAATACTCCATAGCTATAGTTTATAAATTTACACTATGTAATACAAAAATAACATACCATATTCTACTAACGACAGCAAATGCAGTGATAGCAGTAGACCAGGCATGACCTAAATTTATTCTACATTTAAGAAAATATGCAGCATGTTTAGAGACCTGTTCCAAACGTAATATAAGTTTTGCAAAACCTTGTGTTTTAACCAAAACATATTCTACCATTTGTTTACTAGATAATGTAATATATTTTTCATCTATTCCAACATAGCTCTTCAAATTTTCATATTCCTTTTCAAGCGATAATGACAAATATTTGAGCAAAACTTTATTTATTTTAGACATTGATTTGACACCTTTGTCATTTCGAAATTTTCTTTTCATACGATAAATTAATCTGCTTAAAATTGCTGCTTCTTTGTGCAATAATTCTTGAGAAGTTATATCTTTTATAATTTTGTCCAGTGTTAATAGAAATGCAGATGCATCTAATAGTGACAAAAATAAAAAAATATCATGTACTTATTTATTAAATGGAAGATTATTCGCCTTTCGTATAAAAAATTTATATCACAACATTTTTTATTGTTTTACTTACAAGCAGAATTAAACTTACCAAATTTATGACGTTCGATATGACAAGTTGCATTGGGAGGACGTTCTAATTGCATGCGATTCCATATTGCTTCCATGCTGATTAATTATTTTAAATATAATTGATTTTTAGTACTAATTATAAAATAAGAACATAACCTCACTTCTTACTCATGTAATACAAAGAACGCGCTAATACATTTTATTTATTTTTATTAATGCCTTATAATTTATAGTGTATAAATTGAAATGAAGCATATACGCTCAAATTTACATAAATGTAATATATATTCGTGCGAATACATGTATACGCATGTAGCCAATGCTATCGACAACAATATACTGTTATTCCTCGAAAATCTGTAGGTGGAACAGGGGCAGGTCGAGACAATACAGGAGAACTTGGTGGAAGATCAAGAGGAAGTAATTTATATACACCACGATATCTGAAACCTCCTTGCACAATAGGACGGTACATTAAATTTGTCCATGACCCGTGACGTTGTGGCGAATTTGCAGGTTGTTTAAATCTCCAATACACAATTAAAATACATTAATAAAGGCGCAAGTAATGAATGTATTACATTATGTATGAAATCTCTATTATGTTCAGATTCAATAAATTACTATTAAATTCCTACCTGACACCTTTTATTGGTTCTAATTTTCGTAAATATGGTTGATTAGTTCTTTGTTGAACAATATTTAATAAAGGCCAGTTACATGTCGTTACTATGCAACCGATTCTATTAAAATGATCTAGTGGACAGAGATCACATATTCTTTTATCCATCATAAATCACTTGTAAATTTAAAAATTAGTAAAGATTTATTAATTCTAAAAACTAATTGAATACCGCGATTATCTTGAGCGAAGGGGCTGAATATTGTTATAATAACATTTGTTTTATATTTATTTATATATGAAATGTATACTAATATTTATATACAATACAAAGTTCAGATCAAACATCATTGACACTGAACAATAAATACTTTATTCGTGAGGTAATTATATTCGAAGGACCGATTGGGATTGGGGTGTAAAATAGGCGAGATATGGTTCAACAAGCATATGATAAACACGGATAACACCTGATTGTTCCAACGTAAAATAATCCACCAGTAATAACAGGTGCCCTGAAAACAGGACCGGCTTCATAAGGAGCTGGGACTGGTTTAGGTATAGGTGCACAGGTAATACACGGGTGACCTGTGCAGGGTGGACAAACGAAAGGGCGTGGGACGCAAGGTAAGAGTGAAGGTCGAGGCGGACATGGCATGCAGGTGACTGGCATAGGTGGACAACAATTAGGTTTTGATTCCAATTTGCATGGTGGAGTAGGACACGTATAGCAGCAAACAGGTTGAGGCGGGTACGATATAGAACAAGGTGGGCATTGTGGATCCATTGGTGGACAGCAACCGCAACTAAAACAATATTTAAGTTGACCGTTATTGCATTCATCAAGTGATAAAATACTTCACCCTTTCGATCATACCTTTCGATCATCTGTTTTAAATCGTTTTTCCCATAAGGTCGTTCACATTTTGTCATTACCGACATTTGACTCGGCAATGTAATTTGCAATTACACAACTACAAATTTTATTAATCTTATTAAAATAAAAGTCTGAAGTTTGGTATTAAAATAATAGAAAGGTGTTGATAGACGATTAATAATCTTTGTAAATATAGACAAATTCAATTATTACGTGAAAGTAAATTGTTTATAGTTAATGTATTTTATTCATATATTCATTATATAAATTTATTAACGACGCTGGTGTTCGTGGAGTAATTATAGCCAATGCTGCTTTAAAATGCTCTTTAGTGATTATAGAAGCATTTAAATCTTCTTCAAGTGCTTTTATAGCAGCTTCGTGACAAATTGCTTGGATTTCTGCTCCAGAATATCCTTCTGTAAGATCAACTAGATCTTGAATATGTACATCTTCGGCGATTGGCATATTTCTTAATTTTATATCGAAAATCTCTTGTCTGGCTTCATAATCAGGTAATGCCACGTATATTATCCTATCTAAACGACCAGGACGAAGAAGTGCCTGTAAAAAAGCAACATTTTAATTAATAAATATCTTTGATAAATATAGCTGTTTTCTAAAATGTAACTAACTTTATCAATTTTATCGGGTCGGTTAGTTGCTGCCACTAAAGTAACGCTGCCTAACGCAGTAACTCCATCCAGTTCTGTTAATAATTGTGCTAGAACTCGCTCTTGCACGTTGCTTCCGGCGCTTGACGAAGAACCTCTTTCACTTCCTAGTGCATCAATTTCATCAATAAATACTATTGAAGGTGATACTTGTCTTGCTTTCCGAAATACCTCTCTTACGGCTTTTTCGGATTCACCGACCCACTTTGAGAATAATTCTGGTCCCTGAAAACATTGTATTTTTTATCTCTTTTTTTTTTTGATTGGAAAAGTTTTAAATTGAACTTTAGTATGCCTAACCTTTATGTTTAAAAAATTTACTTTACTTTCTGTTGCAAGAGCTTTTGCAATCATTGTTTTAGAACAACCTGGTGGACCAAACATTAAAACACCTTTAGGTGGAGTTATACCCATCCTGAGAAACACTTCGGGATGGCGCAGTGGCCACTCAACAGCTTGTTTTAATTTTAATTTTAGGTCTTTTTGACCTCCTATATCCGACCATTGGATGTTCGGTACTTCTATTAAAACTTCTTTCATAGCTGACGGCTTTGTGACAGTTAAAGCATGTTCAAAGTTTGATATCGTTACTTTTAACGAAAGATCAGTGTTAGTTTTCTGTTGACATTTTACAGCATTCAGAACTGCTTGGGAACATAAACCATATAAATCGGCGCCGACAAATCCATGAGTAACAAAAGCGATATTTTGTATATCTTCTAAAGATAAAGTGTTCGGTATTTTTGATAACATTTTTTTAAATATCTCTGCGCGCATATTGGTAGTAGGTACATGAATTTCGAATTCTTTGTCTATTCTACCAGGTCTTCTAAGAGAATTATCTATAAGATCCAATTTCGAAGTTGTGGCAAGTATTACTACATTATCATTTGCATTTTGTATTCCATCAAAGAGTGCAGTTAATTGTGAAAGTATTCTTCTTTCGTGATCTGTAGTTGAAGTACTCCTTTTAGGGCATAAACTATCAATTTCTTCTATTAGAATAATGCTTGGAGCTTTATCTTTAGCTTCCGTGAAAATATCTTGCAATTTTTTCTCTGTTTCGCCTGAAGATTTGCTATAAATATCTGAACTGTAAATAGTGGTAGAATTAATATCATATTGCGATATCAAGGCATTGGCGATAGCAGATTTGCCAACACCAGAGGTGCCATATAATAATATTCCTTTACTAATGTAAAAGTTTCCAATACTTTGGTACAGACCAAGACCAATATTAAGAACATCTTTGATATCTTCTATTACGTTATCATATCCTCCAATATCTTGTATTTTAAATTTAGATTTTTTATTTTCATCTTTTTTTTTTTCTTGCTCTTCATTTAAAATCGTCCATTTTGTGTTGTACAGTGCTTTATACAATTTGGTATTACGTGTTTCATCTGTTATGCTCAATTGTTTAAACTGTTCAGATAATTTAACATTTTCACAGTCATCTGATATAACTTTGACAATCTTATAAATTAATTTCTTGCCATAAAAAGGCACACTGAATTTATTACCTATAGTAAATACTTTTTGCTCATTATGATTCTTAAGTATTATGTTAAGTTCCATGGTTGCTTCTGGCAATATATGTTTCCCAACACTACAGATTACAAATTCCTTGGCAATATCGACAGAAGAATTTAATTTTTCGATTTTAACATAACCTCGGAGGTTATTTAATTCTATTGCTGTAAAAAATGTGTGGGTAGAAAAATTTTTATATAGATTTTGGAAGATTCAATAAAAGATTTTACCATGTTTCGTTAACGAAACACTTGTTAAACTTTTATCCTTAGTTGGCCAAGCAGTTTTAACAACTTTACTTTCTCCAGCAATTACAAGAACACAATCCCCTATTGCAATTTCACATAATTGCAAAGCAGATTGCGATATAAATACCATATCATCCAATGCTCTTACATGGATATTTTTTGGCTGTTCTATGCAAAGAAACACTTATATAAAAGTAATTCAAACAATAGTAAATATAAGAGCATATATACCTGATAGATTATATGTTTCTACGGTACTATATAATATACCACCGTAAATGAAATTATGATTCCATGTTACAAGATTAGGTGGACAATTAGTGTTATGTACTTCTAGATCCTTTAGTGTCAAGATGCTCTGACATGTTTCACATGTCATCCAAGGAGAAAGACTTTTCCTCCCACTTTCTTTTCCTTTTGGTATCATTCTGAAACGATAGAAATAATTGGCTGGACATAATTCATAAAACGTTTCCACTCTACTATCTTTTGACAAAGCCTTTTGAAACATGTTTTATTGAAAGTACTAAATAAGTATTCAGGTGGGAGAACATAACCTCTAAATCACATACAAATGCTTTGTATCAAATGCAGTAAAAGCAGTTTTTGTAAAATGCGTACAAATTTACACGATTATTCTCAACCTGCAATTTTTAGTATCAAAATCAATATAAAAATATAAAAATCCATAGAAATATTTACAGAGAATTGCCGTCCGCCATGATAACATGTCCTTGCTCGGCATGCAACACCTAGACTATATACATATACATAAATTCTAATAAGTGGTTGATAGCAATGGTTAACAAATAAAGTATTCAATGATGATACGCGAACAACATATTCATTTTGAATGACGTCACAGACATTATTCCGATATATATAATGTAAAATATTCATTTCATTTATAAGTGGAAAGATATTACTTTAACATTAGAGATTTTAATTATTTTTTCATCGCAGCTAAATAAAGTTAGGTCATACTTTTTAATTCCATGAATTAACCCGTAAATAAATAAAAATATCCTACTTAAAGGAGCTGGTATAGTGTAATCTTAAGGATAAAGTTAGTAATCGACAAATAATAACAAGAAATTTCGAAAAAATGCACAAAGTGTTCACGAGGACCTTCAAACATGATCAGTAAAAATTTATTCTTCTATCGAATGTAATAAATTCTATCCTATGGTAAAAAAATATGCGGGGTAAAGGATGTACGATTCTTCCTTCTCTTAGCTTCTTCTCCTTTTTTAGTTTCGAATATCATCGTCCCAATATATCGAGCTCGTAAAATTCTCGTGGATGAATATAAGAGATAAGACAGGGATGGGATATCGCGATCACAGGTTTGGGGGAGCTGAGGAGGCTTATGGCTTATTGGTTCAATCTAACCGTTACATTACCGAATAATTTAAAATTGATTGCGTTTTATAAAACAGGTAATCCATTTTATTAATGTTATTCTGCAAATTGTATGTTCGTTTGAAAATTTGCTGATGAAACTTTTATTGATAGAGGGAAATTGGTCGTGTGGAATGTAGAGGTTCAGATGCAGACGAGATGAATCAGGTTCGGTGGAGCATAAAATCAGCAGCATCAGGCGCATCAGGGATCGTGGCAGGCAAGAGGCAAAAGACCGATGGATGGACGGGCCAGCCGTCACGAAGCGGGCCGACGTTCCCGTACCAAACGAGATTAATAGAGATCCGCCTGTCAGCCGGACGCCTCTCCGTCTGAGCGAGATCCAGTGGCTTCCAGACGGCCAGTCTTCTCGCAGATCGCAACCTGCGTGGGCAACAACCGATCGTGATCGATCGCACGGTGCGTCCTCTCTGGACTACCGCTTTGCATGTCGTGTGCGTGCGAGTCCAAGAGTATTCCGTGTACCACGAATCTTCTAGTCATCCGCGCGCGGGTATATATAGAGTAATGAGATAACAACCACTGTGACAAATTAGCACAATTTCGTCCACGCGGCGTTCACACCTACGTCTAGAGAATATCATTAAATTCTGTACGCATTTTTCAAACGGCAAACAACTCGTGCATCCTCGATACACAAACTCGTTTCCGAATCTCGCCATCCCGTCTCGGTAAATCTTATTCGACCGATTTACGTCCATCGTTATTCGTACCGATGCGAATACAAATCACGAGGGGTCAGTGGGCCGTATTCGGTGGCTTCACGTTAGTTTGCCTCGCCAATTTACGATTAGGTAGGCACCGCATCGCACTTTTTCATTCTGATTCGTCCTCTCTGCTCCTTTCTCTTTTTATCAAGTTTTCCGCGATGTATTCAATGCTTTTATATTTCAACCGACTCTTACAAGTTACGTTTGTTAGCATACAAAATAGTAACGTTTTCGAAGAAGCATGATTCTGTTTGATATCTGCATATCGGGGTTGTTTCTGTTTCAGCCATCGGTGACCAGAATGAAGGCAACGAAGGTAGGACACACAGGGAAGAGGTTCGACAACATGTATGCTGCGCCAGACACGAGAAAATGATCGATGTTGGATACGGTAAGCGAATTTAAGAAAAAGTATGTATTAAATTCTGGCCAATGTCAGGACGGAGCATACGGACAGAGATGCACAGAAGATTGCGGAGCGGTATAACGTTGAAAAGAGATTCGGCGAGAAGTTGCGTAATTTTAGCAACCGGCTAAATGTAAGTTACGTTCCCTCGTTTCACTCTTGCCGCCCCATATTCATGAGTGGTAAATGCTGGTGGCCTTGTCGCTAGATCCGATCCGGTAAATTAATATCGGGTGTTCAATCAATTGACGCCGATCGAGAGGATGAAGCATCCGGTGACGGTGTTGTCGTGTGCCCATGATCAAAAGATTTGACCGATTTATCATTGCGAGCTATCGCATTAAAATAGCGCGGGAATCGTCGAACCGATCGCGATTCGATCTCATTACTTGATTTTGTCACAGAGAGATCAATTGCCGCTTGTAGATCGGAGGCGATCAAAGGAACGAGTCTGTGATTCGTGGAATGTTAATGCCCCTCACGGACGAATAATTAAGGTTTCGCCGAAGCGGCCGGTTCCGCGAAACGATCGAAGGAACAACCACCCTTCGAGACGCCATCAATTGACAATTAAATGATTTTGTTGATGTCTGGTATCCTCGGCTGACGCTTAAATCATCGCTATGTCCAACGTCGCACCATCTTTCTACCTTCGATTACCTGAAAAGACCAGACCGGCAACGATTATTCGACTGATTGATCGGGCGTTCACGCGGTAGTCTGTTATTTCAAGTAGATCTCGAAATAATACCATTTATAGGAACAAACACGGAAAGGTGGCAGTGAAGTAGCCGAAGGTTCACGGTAATGTGAATCACCGAAGAATCAGCGCATTCCGTGTCCCACGCGTTCGCGCCAAAAATAGCACGGTTACACTATAGACGGTTCTACCCTCTTCTTATATCTTGTCAACTTGTTTAATGTGATACAAGTCGTAAATTTTGTACGATGATCGCGAGCATTACAGAGCGGCGCCATCGGATTTACTCGCGTCTTATTTTTCGCGAGCGAACTCCACGGCACGCAGTCAACAACATCATCCTACCGGTCTACTGAAATTTCATTGAACCTCCCTGGCCACACTTTATTGCTAACGCTAATCCCCTTTTTCGACAGTATCTTTGATTTTTATTTTCTCAGGAATATCGGGCGAAATTATCCAAATTGATGCAGGCCACTGTCGTAAACTGTGTCCACGACACGTGTTGGATGATCCAGGAGATGCGAGTCGGCCCACTGTACAGGTAAATATTTTTTCATACAGTTTTACTTATCAGAGTTTCGGTTCAGAAAAGAATGCAGGGTTACAGAGGTACATGGATGTATGTAATCCATGACTCATGCACAGCCGCAGGATGCACCTGGTACAAAAATCTTTTTAGGTGATCCCTGCCTTGGCGCAACGGGTTTGCGACAAAAAACGCGTCGCCATTGCGGAGTTTATCGAACCGGTCGTGAAACTGTCGAATTCCTCGACCCGGAATCCTTTAAAATTCAACGTCATGGTCACGCTTATTTTACGATTAAAAAGAGAAGGAAAGGATTGGCGAACTCGCGACATCTTTGAAAAGTCAGGAACGCGTATATAGCGAAGGAACCGATCTAAGTTCGAAAAACCGAGATCGGACGTCGTGGAATTCTGTTCGGGTAGTCGAGCGGTGTGTCGAAGAAAAAAGAAAGGACGAAGCGAAAAGACCGAATTCGCAAATAAAAAAAAAAAATATCGCGATATACGTTGCCACGGCAGGTTACGTATGCCAAGGGCTATACGAAGGGCGAAAAAGGCAGGAACATCATGTAGATTTATGACGCATGGGATCGACCAATCCGCCAGCTGGAATGCGGCCACGCCAGCACCGCGCGATCGTACGATCTACGCGACTTTTACGGCGTGTGCACCCCACACTGTATCGAGAACCGCGTATCTTCGTCGATGATCATCGTACACCTTTTATACATATGTACATACCTTACACATTCTATTCTCCAAAATTCATCGACAATCGTATCGCGACTAAACGATCATCGCGTGTTTCTACTTCGTTTCCATACGAATCGCAACTGTTGCCTCGAGTCCGACAGTGTTAAAACGGCAGTGGACTCTAATTAGCATGGTAAACGAACGTGTCGTAATAATTCGCGAATAATTCGAGAACGACCCTTCTTGGGGAGAAAGCTATTTTCGTCACGTGATGCAACCCGATCGGTGGTTTACGATCTTGCAGCACCCACGCTGCAGGAGAGAAACAGGCTTGAGAAGAAGAAATGTTGCACGCGATATGCAGAAAGAAGAGGATGTGTTTTGCGTCCTTGGAAGGTCGCATCGAGCCGGGTCACCGCTCCGGCGCCAGCTTGGCCAGCTACTAAATCCCGAATCGTGTTCCTGGGATCTTGAGGATGGATGTACCTGAGAACAGAATTTATTAGAAAATATTCTTAGCCAGAAATATCACCGGGGGTACAAACGAGAGAAGAAAATGGGTAGAGGCACCGATGCCTTTGCACGAACAAAGATAACGGTCGATGTTATCCCGCAGCGAGAATAATTAAATGGCCCGCGTGTCGCGAAAGAACTCGAGTACTAAAGAAAACGTCCGAACGAGAGATAACGAGGCGCGCGAATATTATAAATTCCTTCGTGGACACCATCGATACTTTCTCGCTTGGCAAACGTACGACGGAATAAAGTACGAATTCTGTGAAGTCGCGTGCTCGCTTTGCTCATTCAACATCTGTATCGATAAAATGTTCCCCCGTGTGATACATGACCAACCATTCTAGAAGCGTGTTCTTCTTCCTTACCAGCGGCAACATTTCATCCGATCCGATTAAAATATCCGAGTTTCCGTTTCGCTCATGTTCAACGTAACTCATTTGCACATTTTGTTCTTTCAGAGATGTTTCCCGGAATCGCATTGTCGTCCAAGGGCGGCAAAATTGGAGAGGGTGTCAACGATTCAAGGTGTTCGTGTGATCGAAGTCACAGAAGCTTGCGAATGCACGCCTGATTCGTCCTGTAGGCGAGAATCCTTCACGCATCTCGTACATTCTGGCACTCCTCACCAAGCCGTGATTGATGTCGGAGTATGTATGGGTCACTGTGCTAAAGGTATATCATTTTCTTTCGTTCGATATCATTCGCCCGTAATCGTTATCGATAATCGTCGATGTGTCTTTTGAAAGATCTTGGATGCAAACCGGTGAGGAACAGTACGGTTAGCATCAAAGGACCGAATGGTACGTCAAATTTCCTACGTTCGTAGTAGATAACGTAATTTCACTCGAGAATAGGTGTACTTATTACGTTACATTTTAGGGGACGAAGTGTACCAAGTGATTGAGAAATGTGGCTGCGCTGGAACATGCCACAAAATGGACCACATGGAGACCGTTTTAGATTTCAGCGAAGTGGAAATTAAGGATGGTACAAACACGACGGATGTTAGGCCAGTCGTTCGGGTAAATTTTCTACCACGCGATCTCAGATACCACTATGATCGTATTATAATTTATCGTTGACTTTGTATTTGTGCAAATAGCAAATTAATGTCGGACAATGCGTTGGGACGTGTCCAGGGAACGAGACGGAAATGTGTCTTTTGAGAGACAAAAAAGAGCCATCGAGATGCTTGGCGGGTCTGTACTCGAAGCAACATACTTGTACACCCGCCAGATTCAAAGTTCACGAATACAGGTATTCGGGGATGCAGGTTAATCATCGACGATGCAAATACAATTAAACATACATCGGTGTGGTTTTTCGTTTATTTCAGGACACGTCGTGGATCGAAGAGAGAAATTATTCAAATTACCCAATGTGCCTGTGTCTGAATAAAATAGAGAGGACCGAGAGAAGTCTGTTCGATCCAACGGGCCAATGGAACAGACTTGTAGAAACATTCAAGCTACTTTATGCGTCGCGTAAATACAAAGTACCATTTCGATGTTCCTACATGCACCGTGTATTGGTATGATAAATAAACGTACAATGACTTTCTAGAAAACGTCAACTGGCTACCTAAAACTAGTCCACGCTCGTCGTGTTCCATCCGATTCGTTCGCCGTTGTCTATCGTCATATTAAATGATTCTGCAAGTTTCACGGTAATCGAGTCAATTCTTTGAGAAACGTCTGACAAGTTTAGAATTAGTTCCAGCTATTGGTATCGTTAATTCGTCTTACGACGTAAGATGATAAAAGCGGGATTACATTTGGCAAGACGCAATAAGACGTTCAGCAAGTTGCTTTCGCGAATTTGACGCGCATTTCTACGAAAGACACGCCAACTGGCACTAGCCAACTTTGTACTTACGACTATTCCCTAGCTCGTTCCCGTTTCGTCTTGCGCTCACATACGAATAATGCAACAAAAAGAACGAGGTCGAAGCCGGTGCTCGATGTTCGAACGCGGAGGCGAAAATACACGCTGACACCCTCGCGAGATCCGTCATCGTCCTCGTAGGAAAACAACCGATTATTCGCGACATCTAAATATCGCTGCGTGGCCACATGACTCGCCACTCACGAATCTACGGAATTTAGGAAGCGTGAGCTTTTTTTAATAGCCCCGCGATGTCATCATCTCGTTCCTGGTGGGTTTCGTACGCTTCGCAATGCTATCGTGTATAATCGACCTTTATCGGTTTTTGTCCTTTCCTCGTATCTATTTTTTAATCGCACAACTATTTTGTTTCCAGAGAAACGCAAAATTTCTTACCTAAAATACAAATGTTTCAAGCGTAAAAAATTTCAAAAAGCAATAACTTCTCGACAGCTAAAAGAAACGGAATGCGCACTCGATGGTCCAGCTTGATCGAAGATGATCTAAGATGGGTTAATAAGAAGCAAATGGGGGAAAAGAAAAGTCACATTTTCGAGTCGTGTTGAGTCGCGTCGAGTCGCGTAGCGTCGCGTCGGTGTCCCGTGAGAGAAGCCGATGTCGCTGCGGGGAGCAACGCGGGGGAGGCAACTCCCGGCATAGCATAAAGGTGACTCCTCGCAGCCAAGACCTCCCATATGCTACTTAGCGTTCCGTTCGGTTCGGCAAACCTCCTGTCCGCTAGCAGAGAAGGTGTCCGCTCCTTCCTCCGCTAAGAAGCGTTTGTCACTGACTTAACGTAGATTCGGTCGATGTTACACACTGTCATCGAGCTTTCGATTCTTCAAACGAACCCGGAGAGATCAGCATCGTTGGTAGTCGTCGTCGTCGTCGTCGTGTGTTTCGAGCCCACTTTCGGACCTGTTCTCCATTCTGACCAACGATCCATATACGAGAATGATATCGAGTGACGTTCGGTTTTTTCTTTTGGCGATACTCTTCCTATCGTGTACTTTCAACGTACACGCACACCCGAATCGCTTCTCCGAAGATGATAATCCCAACGAGGAAGAACTTGTCAACTCCTGGTCTTTGGATGACTTAAACGAAGGAAGCGAGCACGATGCTCGTCGGGACGAGGCTCTAGAAAAACTACAACAGGTCCGTCTCCAGATAATTGTGTCGTATGCCTTGCTGTTTGTGTGAGACTTGGTGAAAACTGAACTTTTGTTTTCGAAGGGTCAAAAATATGAGTGAAACGACTAAGTAAATCCCATTTACGGAAGTCGCGTGTTTCAAACGACCGCGTTAACCAGTCGATGAAATCGTTACAGGTTCTTGGTATCCGGAGTCACAGCGAGAAAACAGGACGTCGCAAGGTGCCACCGCAATTTATGGTGGAACTGTATAATAATGTAGCAGATCCCAGTGGTGTCACGCGTGGCAAAAATCCATACAATGCCAAGGTTGTCCGCAGCTTCATCGAAAGAGGTAAACCTCTAACCACTTCCATAGCGTAGGTCATCGTTTCGTCTGCGATCGAAATTTTCACTAAAACAAAAACTTTTACGCAGATACCACCTTATCGCGATTCTACTTCTTCAACATCACGGGTTTAGAGATGGACGAATCTGTTTTGGAGGCAGAGCTTCATCTTTATCGGAAGAGAACACCTTTGAAAATTATGCATCCATCCACTTTAGCTTCACCCTATTATTTGGTAAGTATACGTCAATCGCAATTTGTCGACTTTTTAAGGATTCGGATAACGAATATATCTTCCTTTAGATAAGAGTATATCAAGTCTTGGATGAGAAAAGTTTAGACGTGCCCGATCTTCACAGGCTGTTGAACGTTAGATACGTCGGGGCACACGCGTCCGGTTGGCAGGCAAGTTTCAAGATAATGGAATTTTTAGAAAATACTATATTTTCTCGCTGTACTAAGCATTCGACATTTTTCATCAGATATTCAATGTAAAACAAGCGGTTCTTGCCTGGTTAACTGGAGAACCAAATCTTGGTCTTTTGGTAACGGCTTCCACTTTGTTCGAGGATCAAGTGACTGTAGAGTTTTCCCGGCGAAACGAGTACCATCATAGCAAACAACCGATCTTGGTACTCTTTGATGACGACGGGAAAGGACACCGAGGCGAACGTGGCAACAACGAGAGCGAAGAAACATCCTACGAGGACGAAGACGAGAAGAACGATTTGAAGAACGAGTACGGTGAAAAGAACGCCGAGAAACGCGATCGAGGAAAAGGTCAACCGGAAGAGACTCGATGGGAAAACGAGAATAAATCCGAATACTTTCAAAGGCAGAAGAGAACGCAAATAGGAGAACACGATGTAGTGACACAGACTGCTCGGGTAACCCGAGATTTTGCAGAAGAGACGCCCAAACGACGTCGAAGGGAAACCATTTCCTCTTCAAGAAAATTAAAGAAAAACGTTTATTCGCACGGCTTGACCTCGATGGACATATATCAACGAGCGATACGCCGCGAAAGAATGGGAGAAAGAGTTCGTCAAAGGCCAATGTCTTTGTCGAATGAAAATTTCCGTGAGAAACGGTCAATTAAAAGTCACGCTTCCGTTCGACAAAATGTCACCGAATGTACGAGGCACGAGCTCTACGTCGACTTTAAAGAAATCGGTCTTTCCTCCTCTATCATCGCTCCGCTCGGTTATTCCGCCTATCATTGCAAAGGCATCTGCGAATCGCCATTGAGTCAAGATCAACAGCCGACAAATCACGCGACTATTCAGGGAATCGTTCACAAAATGGGACTGGTGAAGGGGGTTGAGAGACCTTGCTGCGTACCCACGAAACTATTGGGCACAACCATTCTATTCTTTGATGACAATGAAAACGTGGTCCTGAAAGTTTATCAAGACATGATAGCGGATCGTTGCGGATGTCGTTAAGGATCTCATGGTTTTTTTATTCCCCTTGTGAAGGAAGAAGCAGCCGAAGCGTCAAAGTATGTGTTAATGGTATTGAAAAGAAGAAGAATGCGTGAATATGTATGTGAGGAAAGAGAAAGAAAAAGTGGGAGTGCGCGCGAGAAAGAGAGAAAGAAAGAGAGCGAATGTAAGAGTGGCAGAATATCTGAATCAGGTAAAAATGATTTTTACGCGTTAGCACGAGAGTCATTCCTAAAGATTCGTCTGAAGATCGCCGTTTAATTGACGTCCCAACATTGTACATAAGAACATTCCTAAATTCGCGTAGAACTAAGCGTATCAATGATTAGAATGTGTCTATATCATAGCCTATATCTTCATTAAATTATTATTATAACCACACGTAGGGAATTTATCGTCTCGATCATTGTATATACTACTGTGTCGTAAAATGAGTTAGAGTTATTTATATTTTAATTATGACAAATAAAACGAGTATTTAAGCTATCGAGCCGTCTTTACGCTTAATATGTAACTCGCTCCTTCTCACACTATCACGATCGAACGAGATTCGCTCTACGAACCGTAGGTTCTATATTTGGAAGGATGGTATGTATTGCTTCCATCGTGATACATTTGAAATTACTTATTTTAATAAATCGCGTGTCATCCCTCCCCCAAATAAACGAAGCCGGTCGAACGGACGAGCGAGCGAATCAAATCGAGCGGCTCGGACATAACGAAGCAATTTTCTTAGAAGAAGAAGTTTCGTTGGCTGAGCGACGAAATCGAGGCGTAAATTTTATGAGCGGGCCAATAAAATAAACGTGACGGTAACAGTGCTCGAGACGATGACTTTGGCGCCACTGGATGCAGAAAAACAGTCGTGGAATGTCAGCGCTACCGGTGTTAAACGTTGCCCCTTTTACCTTCTTTTGCAATCCGGTATCGGTGGCGCTCAACGATCTACGAGTAAGTAAACGATGTTGAATCGAAATCGGGTTGCATGTCGACCCATCGAGAAATCCCGCGCTAATGGCAGTTCCTGTACGGTTCCGAATTTCTGTCGTTGATACTTTTACGATACGGCCTTTCGCTTTTTCTTTCTCTCTTCATTCGTAACGATGCGGTTCCCATTTTATTTCGTCGCTGGAATTCATAGCATGGCCAGGAACGTAAACAGATTAGTTTAACGACCCCTTTGGAATCCACGATGCAATCGCGGATCGGTTTAGAATATAATATATGTACGTATCTCTGCGCTTTCTAGGACAGGCAGAATCCACGTGGAACGCTGCGTGAAACAAACAGTGAAGAATCGGATGAAATTATGGACGATTAGGCTATTAGGCGATCTCGATTGCCGGCTACCATCCTCTCTACCTGTCTTCCTGCTTTCTTGTTAGTTCCCTTTGGAATCGTTGCACGCGCATAAATTTCCACCCACGCCTCCCACCGAGTTGACCAATTTGTCCGAGGAATAATTTTAGGTTTCTCTTCCAACTCCTTTCTAACTGCCTCCGGTTCCACACGCAATAGTTTGTCATGGCAAGAATCAAAGAAGAAATAGAGATATTCAAACGAAAATACTGGAACGATAAATAAGCTGATCGACGATGAAAAGAAGCAGCGCTTTCGACGTGATGCGGGAATTTACATATTTGCGAGCGACCGATCGTTCGCGTGCCATCGTACTGCATTCCGTGTGCGTGCATCTCCAGTTATATTTAATCCATGGTGGGTGTATTTTCGAATTCGCCCGCCTAAAAATAGCCAAAACGCGTTCCATTGCATTCCAACACTGTATTTAGATCCTTGATATCGTAATACGTGTCATCCATGTTCGTGACAGTCGAGCAGAATCTTACCCACTTATTTGCCCTGCTTTTACATAAGTACTAGGTCTCTGGCAAAAGACATGAACCGAATGGAAATTACAACACCTGAAAATTCGATGATCGTTCGTACTTTTTTCCAACGTTATATGTATATATTTGAAGAAACGGAGAGGAATGATTAGAACATCTCACGGAAACGTAGTTGCTGAAAGGGTTAATGATGCTTGGAGATTGGAAGAGTATCGGTGTAAAGAGGGGAGGCTAGAACAACGTAGAACAAGCGAGGGAAATGGAGAGGAGAAAACGAGGTAAAACGGAACCGGTGTAAAAAGAAAAGAAAAAGCGATAGGGCGGGAACTGCCGCTAAGTAAGAAACCCTAAGCCGTGAACTGTACCACGGCCTGTACAATGACGTAGTGTTCTGTCATCCGGAGCGCTACCTCTCCAGCCTCTCCACTACCACTGCTTGGCCATTATAGTGGGACAGAACTTCACGAGTTCACAACTATACATATAGTGGTAGGCCTTTGAACGGTGCGCGCCTCGTGCCTCGTGTATGCTGTGTTTCTTCCTTTCCGTCGCCTGTTCTTTGTCGTTTTTTCATCGCTTTTCTCCCGTTTTCGTTCACGCGTTTACATATCTCTTTTTTACTTACCTATAGTCTTTACTTGCGTGACGCTTCATCTAGTGCAGATGCGATGGTCGATCAATCCACCGATCGTTTTTGATCGCTTTGAACCGGACGTTTGTAAACAAACAGACCGACAATAACGTCCTTGAATTGTCTGCCTATAAGTCATTCGAGAATCAAATAGAGAGGGATGAAACGTCCAGCGAATACATCAATTTCGTGGAAACCTTCGCTGGGTATATTGGATGCGCGCTGAACAAAACAAAAAAAAACAAAAGTAATTTTCTACAATTAAATATTCGTAGAGAAGACATTATGAGGAATCGTTGATGACGAACATGACAGTCTCGGCCTTTGTATACTGCATTCTCGTTCTCCAATTGACGTTAATTGTTTCGATCGTGCACACGGGCAGTCGTCAAGTAAGTAACATATTAGCGCATTAAGTTTCACGCGAATATTATTATAAATACCTATTTGAATCATACTTTCGTTAACGAGAGGACAGATTCATTTTTTTATCGAGTGATTTTCGCGGTGAACGAAAACGCGGGAAACTGATATTTTATCCACACGCCGATTGGCTGCTACGCCATTGAATGGGAAAAGGTCTCACAACGAACGCTTCCAAGAAGTAGAAATGTTTTGTGTCTCACGGATCGGCGAGAGTATTCCATTTCGCTCCGTTTCGTTCCAGCGTGTATTGCCGTGTCCCTTTTCCATACGAGAGCCTCGTATCTCATCGACGAGCCAAACACGGCTTCTTTTGATGTTGTGCCGACCACCGTTACCCTCCTCTGTCAGGAACGTTCAAATAACCCCTGTACCTCGAATCCACTCTATTTGAATTGCGCTAGATCGGCTGTTTAGACGTTTCTTTTCCCGCGAATAATCGATAAATTTACTCCTTTTCTTCTCATAGATTGATGATCATGAAATCACTGGAGATTTGGAAGCCGCCGTGTATCAAAAACCGATTTCGGGTCTATTTCACCCATCTTGGATGAACGATCAGTTGATTCGAAGCAAACGAAACGAGCAGCTCGAAGAAGAGACGATTCCTACGAGACACGCGAAACATCGGAAGCGACGTCGCTGTAGGAATCGATCGACGTGTCTTCGAAATACATCTGCGATCAGGCTGTCTTTTCTGTGGGACAATGGCACGGCGCCAATAGACCAAACATCTAAAGAGACAAAAGAAGATCCTGATGAAAACAACACGCTTATAGAGGTCGACGAAGAATCACGCAACGATGGTGTGCAGGTAATGATTTGTAATATTGGAGTTGCGTAGATCTTCGAGGGAAGTAAAAATAAACTGGATTACATTTTTTTCCCGGCACGCAGGAATCGTACAATAGAACCAAAGGGGAGGATTACGATGTAACCGATATCGACGAGGAGAAAGGTAGAATCGATTCAGCGGAAAAAAGTTTTATCATGACAGAGAGAAACGATCTTAACGAACGATCTGTTTCTACTGAAATTCAGTTAGAAAGTCAAAACCAATCTTTCGAAAAGAAAGATCGAACCAAAAATGATGAATTCTTCGAGAATATAGATTACACGGACGAAATGAATTCTTCCTCCACTTACCCGGCCATCGACGATCAAGTTATGTTCCACGATAGCCTAAGCGTTATCGTGAGCAAATTATTTCAAAATCTGCGAAACGTTAGTGCAGCGGACGGACAGAAAATTTTCAAGGAGCTGGATTTTGTGAACGGCACGAACGAAGATCCTTGTCAGAAGTGGCTAGACAGCAAGGATAAGCTCGAGCAGGTCTTCTTAGGTACGAACTCGACATTCATAGTGTTGTAAACACGGTGCCTGGTTTCTCGAACTCGCCGTTACAGGTGGTCTAGCGTCGTTACCCGCCTGTCCGTGCCTATACCCGAACAATATCTTTTACGAAGACAAAATTTGGGATCAGAAGCGAATGAAGTATTTCAGGTGGAGAGACGTTAGTGGTAGCTCTCAAAGACTCGATGTCTACAAGCCTGGAGCCACTTACTGCGTGCGCTCGTTTTTGACGCAAGGAAGCGGAAGCGCCGCAGCTCAACACTGTTGCTATGACCATCAGAGGAAACTCTTGACCCGTGGTTCCGGTGCTGGTACTCCATACTTTGTCAGTCCTGAGATATCACCTATACTGCACGAGAGAATTGACGTGCTGCCTTGGAGGCTTTGCAAGGGTGACTTTTCCAGGTCTTTCACTTACAAGCATATTATCTACGATTAACACTCGGCGAATTCGCATTTTTCATTTTCCAACGATTGGGGACCGGAGACGCGAATTCCCGTCTTTCATACTTCATGCGGTATCCTATAAAAATATTAACTACTGTGAAATAAAACAGTAAGAAAAGCAATGGATGCTATAAGTGGATGCTATATATGTACTTTTACATTACATGTTTGAATAATACGAAACCGTTGTCAATATATTAGATATAATATTGCTTGCCGGAAAGTTCTTTTCAATTGCTCCAAAAACATGCGGAAATTCAAGCTATATGGTTGTCAGAGCAGCCGGTCCTCAAAGTGTTAAGATAATACTGTACTTTTTATTCGCGTAACTTACAATATGATTGAAATTATAGATACAACGGAGTAAGACCACCAAACAATGACAACGCGTGTGAGGCGAATCCTGATGACGAGGAATATCAACGACAAATCGATGACACCAAGCATTATTAAACTGCTATCCTTTAGGATGCAATATCTATGATACAAGATACCTGAAACAAGTTCCAATGAGATTATATTTCCGTTGAGTTACTTTAATGCGCGTATAGAATGTATCTATAGTGAAATACACGTATAGTGAATATAGTGAATACAACGTAGCGTTGTTAATTTTACCTTTCGTATTACGATTTCAGCTTATTTCTAAACAGTATCCTTTTAATATGTCGTTTAAAAAGACGCGCTCTAATCAAAGGGTACTTGGAACCGGTTTTGACCGTTCCACTGGCGCGTTTCCAGTCACGTTTCTCGCGCTACTTCCCGAACGAAAGAGGGGAGCAAGGCGAATGCAGGAACGAACAAAGTCGATTCACCGCTCGAGTCAGCAGGCCGTTCAGTTGTTATGGTTACTGCTCGCAAACACGGGTTTTATTTGCCTCTAATAATAAGTTAAGCTTAATATTCAAAGTCAATGAACAATTATGGACTGGGCCGCGGATTTAGAAATTACCTCGAAAAAAGTAAGTTTTTAAATATTCACCCTTGTCCATTGTACACATTTCTTGTATTCGATTGCTGGTAACAACAGAGCGGTTAAGTTAAAAGAAAAATATTGATTTTCAGCTTTTGCCTCGTCTTGGTAGGAGATCGACGCAGAACATCGTACAAGAAGATTCGAAACTAGACGATGATCTTTTGGAAAGCCCTGTATCGTCATCCTCTGTGAAATCGGCGCAACCACCTGTAGCACCCCCACGTACCAGAAAAACAGGATGGGGTGACGAACTGAAAAGCGGGAAGTAAGTTGTCTTGCGGTAATCTGTGGTTTCAGCGAGAAATGTTTCATGCAGTTTTCACTTACCCTCTTTTGGTTATAATTTTAGGATACGTGGATCGTCGAGCATCATCGAACAGTGAGTATAACGAATAAAGTTAAAGAATCAGGCATCCGTAGTCGCTGATAGACTGTTTCTTAGGGAACGCTCTCGAGGGACGGAGAAGGACGACGTGATTGACGGTGAGAATTAATTTGAAATCGTTTAAAATGTAAAAGTTCTGCTGTTAACAGGATTATACTTTCTAGATATTCCTGTTATACCGGATTTGGATGAAATTCAGGAGGATAATACTTTGTCCGATTTAGTAAATGCACCAACGTAGGTATCATTGTGAAGTTTGTTGCAAAAATTCTCATTCAGTTACTTTCAATTCGGTATTCCGTAGGGTGAACGTGAACAGAGTCGCTGCGTATAAAGAACTTGATACGGATTTGGTAAAAAATGCCGCATTCATGTCTCTAAATGGCGTTAATCTTTCTCTTCTAGCAGAGAAATTATACAATGAAAATCTAACAAAAGAGCCGGATGAAGTATGGAATTGGAATCTTCTTTTCACTCAGGTTGCATCTGAAGTAAATAGCGAAACACGAAAAAATCTTGTTACTTAGATTTTATACTTATTGTTCGGGATTTGGAGTAGCCGTCTGTTTATGACTTGGACAGCACCTCTGCCTTCTTTGGGAAAGTCCGAATTTCCTATCTCCCAAGTTATAAACTTTACGATGCGGACCTCATTAAAAGGTTAATAAACACCTAAATGCCCGATGGATCAGGTCTAAAGTAAACATCTTGTATCAAGCAGCAATACTAGAAGATATGCGCCAGCGAGTGTACACAATTAAACCATGGAAAACCGGGGACGGAAAGTTAGTATATAAGGATCAAACGAAGTTTCTGGAAACAGTATTAACAGAACCTTACAACAGTCTTCATCAAAGCGTCACACTCTTCGTGTTACAGTATACCGTATTCTGTATCTTAACTTGCAAATACATAACCTAAACATACTACATACTTGGCATCTTTAATTTACCTCCTCGTTGAACGTTAATCTCATTCAAGGTTTGCGATATCAACCGATCAGTTGCACCTGACTGATCACCACTTAGTTGAGAATTCGTAACACTTATCACTGTTTTATCGCATAAATAAAGCTAAAAAAAACATGCAAAAACATTATCTTCCTCCTTTTATTTTTATCCGTATGAAATCAGTTTGTATGTTTTGTAAAATTTATAATAAAAAAATGAAAGCAAGGAAAGAAAAAAAACATGGCATACTGCTTATCCTGCAGTGCCTGTATATGGAAGCGATAAATTTATTTAACCTCGTCTGACCTATTCGATTGCCCCCCAATTTGGAAATCGCGGTAGTTCGAGGAGCGACGTGAAAGACTCAACCGTGCAGGCGTGCAAATCCGAGGTGAATTATAAAAAACGCACCACGAACCTACACGCGCAATCGGGAGCCGACACAAGCTACTTGAAGCGACCACGTGACAACACCCACTGAAAGCGACCACGTGACAACACCCACTGAGATTCGTAACACTTATCACTGTTTTATCGCATAAATAAAGCTAAAAAAAACATGCAAAAACATTATCTTCCTCCTTTTATTTTTATCCGTATGAAATCAGTTTGTATGTTTTGTAAAATTTATAATAAAAAAATGAAAGCAAGGAAAGAAAAAAAACATGGCATACTGCTTATCCTGCAGTGCCTGTATATGGAAGCGATAAATTTATTTAACCTCGTCTGACCTATTCGATTGCCCCCCAATTTGGAAATCGCGGTAGTTCGAGGAGCGACGTGAAAGACTCAACCGTGCAGGCGTGCAAATCCGAGGTGAATTATAAAAAACGCACCACGAACCTACACGCGCAATCGGGAGCCGACACAAGCTACTTGAAGCGACCACGTGACAACACCCACTGAGCAGATCTGCTTATTTCTAACGTTAGCGATCAATGTTCAGTTGTGCCATCACTAGCACACGCACTTCCGCAAACAAGGCTTTGGTTCCTCTATATATACGAACTGAACATAATCTGATCACTAGCGAGAAAGCAGACCGTATTGTAGTATATTATATATTATTAAATTACAAGAGGAAATATTTGTACATCAAGTCGCAATTGATATTGTAATAGAATATAATATTTAAAGTAAAATTACATTAACAAAAGTTATTTAAAGCAGTTCTTATATCATTATTAACATTGATACCGCATATGGATGTTCGAGATAAAAGCCATCTGGAAATAAAATTACGTACTAGAATCGCGTCGTCATACGAATATGAATCGATATATCGAACGCCTACAGTCGATATACACATTAGCTTGACAAACCAATCAAATTTATCGAATTGATATATCGATATATATCGCAAAAAATATATCGATCTTTTTGAGTTTGAAATTGGCAGAGGTCATATGATAACCCGTTTGCATTAGGATTAATTTTATTCGTATGTTGTCATCAAGTATAAAATTAAGAAGCGTTCGAAGAAAATTTGTTGACTGTACTCTAAAAGAGCCTAATGTATTAGAATGGGTACAGTACATGCTTCAAGGAAAAAACAAGAAGAACCAAGCGTAGTAACCCATGAAGACTGTATACCGTGCGTGGAACCGCAAGACAGAGTACCAGGAAATCCAGGAAGTTTCGAAGATATACACAAGAAAGTTAAAGATCTTTACCCGCAGAACTTTGATGGTGCGCGGCTCGTCATCAATAAAATACTTAGTGACCATTTTAACGTGACCCATACGATAACTCTTAGTTCCGTTACACCGTCTGGATACAAATTTGGTGCAAAGTATGTTGGTACAAAAGTAGTCAGTTTAAAAGAAAGATATCCCGTAATCGTGGGAGATATTACACCAACTGCAAATTTGTCCGCGTCTTTTGTGCATACACTTGCATGTAGATTTAGATTTAAATTATCAGCGCAAATTGCCAATGAAAAATGGAAAGCGTTCAGTTCTAGCTTAGAATATCGGTCGAACGATTTTACTGTAGCGGTGACCTTAGCCAACCCAAAATTTAAAAAGAAGCAAGCAACAATGGTAATACACTTTTTACAATCGATCACATCGAGAATCGCGTTAGGAGCCGAAATTGCATGTCTTCGTGGCTCGAAAGTTCCAGGAGGTCAACAGACAGTCATGTGTCTGGCTTTTAGACACAGTACAGGACTTGCAACATTATCCGGAACGATAGGTGAAGCGGGTCTTCATCTTTGTTATCACCGCAAATCTAGCTCGCAACTGGAACTCGGGGTCGAGTTAGAAACAAACACGAGGACTCATCAGTCAATCGCTACTATAGTTTACCAAGTAAACGTGCCATACGCGGATCTTGTCTTTCGAGGTATCGTGAATTCTGAGACTACAGTCGGTGGCGTGTTTGAGAAGAAACTATACCCAATTCCAGAATCTTCGCTGGTTACTAGTATACTTTTAAACCACAAGAAGCAGCAATTTCGAGTGGGTGTTGGTCTCAATATTGGACAATGATAATCAACATATAATGTGGCTTGTCATTCTATCCTTTTTTCTTAGATCATTTATAAGAATGGTAGGAAATAATTCGATGGTATAGAAATTAACATAGGAGAGAATTGTAATTATTCCTTTCAAAATCTTACAGAGTGAAAAACATTTTGTGAACATTACAATCTCTGTGACTTAATAGTTCGCGATAACGTTTTAACAGCATTATATGTATTAAATAATTGTTATGTTTATATATGTATTATAAAATATTCGAAAACTTTGAAGCATAAGACCTATATATTGATATACACTGAGTAAAAAAAGCCTACAATCTTTTTATCTAATTTAGTGAAACTAAATGCAATGTGCCTGATACATCAAAACTGTTATTTTTATCATTAAAAATTTTATTTAACAATTTTGTTTAATATCTATTAATTAAATATCATTCTAATCATCTCCGTTTGCTATCCTCTCATCCAAATCGTCGTATTCGTGAAAAGCGGTTGTTTTTAATTTGTCAAAATTCACATCAAATTTTTCACTGAGAAGTCCATTTTCATCGGCGTATTCTAAAATATCACAGATCAATGGCGATTCCACACCTAAAACGTACTCACATGTTTTCGGTTCGACTAGAAAAAGAGAAACACTCGATGGACTGGCGGTATGACTTTCAACACATTTTAATTTCACCTGGAAATTACAAAAATTGTGGTAGCTATATAAACTCTTTCGTATAAGAATAAATAAATCTACTCTATAAAATGTTTGTATATATATATATATATATATATAATACTTCTGTTTGTCTTGGATTCCCAGTTTTATCGCAAATAGTACCATCGCTATAAAAATGGGAAAGCTGTTTCCGCAATTCTGGAGACTTTGGTCTTTTATGTGGATGTGCAGCAATCCAGTCCAAATGCTTTTGCTTATCGAATTTACCGAGATTTACTATGGTCTTTTTACCATCGCGTTCTACATGATATTGAACTACAGAGCGTCCATAACAAAATTCATACTTCCACCATCCATTGCCCTATTTTCATCAATTATGTATTATTAAGTAAAATATAATTACAGAATACGGTCAGAATGTAGAAGTGCAATACCTACCCCGTGTAAGCAATTCTTCCCGCTTAAAAAGTTTTTTACGGGACTCGCTTCCGCAGGACTAATACCTTGATCTGCTAACGAATTTATGGATTCTTCGATATTATTATGTTTATCGGTAACACCGACAGGATGTATTTCAACTCTAACACGTGCTTCACCATCCTGAAATAAATGCAAGTCAATTAAATCTTCAATTAATATACACACATAGCGAACATCATAACGAGAATGAGTATCAATTAATATCAATTGTATGAATTTGTTAAAAACACGAAACATGTGTTACACATCATTCCTTCTTTTAATTTATGATATTAATAGATAAAAGATCGACATTATTTACAGTTAAATCGTGACTTTACAACATTTTAATATTATAACATTTTATATCTATTCTGAAAATATATACATTATATAGTGTTTTGTGATGTGATTATTGGTATTTACTTAAAAGCAATGTGTAAATATAATAAAAATGGCTGTGTACAAGTAAAGCAATAGATTTTGTGATGCTAAAGACACAATGGTGCATAAATAGTATTCATAATGTTATTGTAACATTCTTTTGGAAAAAAAACGTAGATTTAAAGGGAATAATTGTATGTAGAAAAGGAAGGGACAGAATGAGATACAAATTAATGGCGACAAATGACAAGAACCACCAAGCACTTTGGCCTGATCCCAAAAATACAAAATATTCTGACCTGGCCCTCCTTATCTACATGGAAGATTGCATAGACTTCCTGCAGCTTGTCATCCTGTGCAACAAATAATTAATTCAATGTATAGATAACAAATAATGCAAACGAAAATTGTTTAACACTAAAAAGATTATTTATGACTTAAGAGTATAAGCCAAAATTACTTAAAAAATCTTGAAATTTAGTAAAATTGGAGTGTTTCAGATAGATAAATAAGATATATAATTATGATCAATGCAGTTTTCTAAGATTAAGATAAGTAAAATATAATATTTTATACTGACAAAGTGCATAGCATAATGAAATTTATTTAAAATCTACTGTTATTTGAAAATATTTTGCATGTGTTTCACATAAATCAATATCAAAAATTATCACTATCATACACAGAAAATATATAAGTAAATATATTTTATTTTAAATAACAATATATACATACGGCACAGGCATAGTCAAAAATAAATAACTGAATACACAGAATGTCAAATGGATTTACCGTTACTTTTTGATATCGAAGTTTCAGACTTTCCATCTCCATTGCAACAAGAGATCTTGGCTTCTTTGGTGCATTTTCAACTGGATGGCAGTTAATTTCA